ATGACATAGCAGATAAGAAGCAGCTGAATCATGAAATTCCAAAGCTAAGTTCAATAGGTAATAATCACTGATGAATTAACTCTATCTCTCATGTATGCACCCAGTTATAGGGGAATATTAGTGTCTTGCTTTTTTATGTTGTTATTTTCCTATCAAAGCAACCAGCCACCTTGGTTTGGCCAGTGGAAATTTGAACTTCTTGGCCTAAGTTGTAACTGTGAGCAAGTATTAGAAAGTGATTAGTTGTGAGTGGTCACCTGTTATACGTAAAAAGGAACTTCAGTAGATGTCTGAATGCTATACCATAAAGCAACTGACTTCGTGTACTCATATATTCTTCTCTCTTGCTGAGAAGTTTGCCACAGTCCTGTCCTAGATGAGAACAGACAAGGAACCTCGTACTGCATCAGTACCAAGAAAGGGACAAAAGTGCACTCATTTTAGAGAGGTTGAGTGTAGCTCTGGACCATGCAAAAACACCAGGGAAAACAGTTGAGAAAGGCTTCTGTAACCCTATTTCAAGGCTTCTTTCTACCCAATTTCAGCTACAGCCTTATCCAATTTTCAACCCAGAACTGTTTGTAGATTGAAAGATGCTAGCTAGTGCTGCTCAATATTCAAGGAGTAGGGGGTGTTCTGCTTACTACCTGCCCGATTGACACTTGTCCTTGGAAACAATATCCAAAACACTTAATATTTAAAAATTCTGGGGCCGCCCACTGTGGCTCACGCCTGTAATCCCAGAGCTTTGGGAGGCCAAGGTGGGAGGATTGCTTGAGGCCAGGGGTTCAAGACCAGCCTGAGTAACATAGGAAGACCTCATCTCTAACAACAACAAAAAAAAGCCAGGCATGGTGGTATGTACCTATAGTCCCAGCTACTCAGGAGAGAAGCAGAAGAATTGCTTGAGCCCAAAAGCTTGAGGTTGTGGTGCGCTGTGATCATACCACTGCACTCCAGCCTGTGTAACAGAATGAGACTCTGACTCTAAAACAACAACAAAAAAATTCTTATATATTGAGCTGTTACCTTGGGTAACAATAAATTAAGGTAAGAAGACAGAACACAAAAATGGGAAATTGTCTTTCCTGTCTTTCACCTTTATTTTGCAGAGTTGTATTTGCATCATGAACACATTCACCTTCAAATGGCTTCTTGAAAATATATGAAAAGTAAAAGGACTATATTTTCTCCTCCAAATTTCTGAGATCCCTGCAGAAATCAGTTGGGGTTCTCCTCTTTGTGTTGGTACCTGTGAGCATGGCAGCTGGAGTGGGCAGGAGGGGGGCTGTTCTGTGTCTCTTCCTCCTTACTTCATGTGATGCTGCTCCTTAGGCCTAGCTTGAAAAAAGCAGGACATTCGGCTTAGACAGATGGAGGGCAGGGTGATTTTCAAAATGAAATTAATACACAGATCACACTGTGAAATTGGCATGACCATCACTGCTGCTGTGATAGACTGACTTTTATTTGGTCTCGGATAGGCATATGGGGAATAGATCAGTTTTTTGGGTAGTAGAGGAGGGAAAGGAGGCCCTTTAATTAATGATAGAAATTCTGGAAAGCAATAAACAGCAATATCATAAAGTATCTTTTTTGTTTGCAACAGAATCTTGAAAAGCTGGAACATATATCAAAAAATAAGTCTATAATACCACTCCCAGCAGTAAGAAAGCATTTGGTGTTTACAAAAAAATGATTTAGTGCCTTATTGAAAGGAATTTAGCTTTTAGGAAATGGTTTAGGACTCACAGTGGATTTTGCTGAATAAGCAGAGGCATGTTCACCATGTGGAAGAATTCTATTTAGGCAAAATGTATAGCAGCAAAAAGCATGATGTTTGGTTCCTAACGCTTTTGTGTTTCTGCCTGCCAAAATATGAGATGATCAAATTGCATGTATATTCTATTTGGCAGTCTCTTTTAAAACCACTTGGAAGTGATTATTTCATGAAAATAACTACTTCCTGTTGGTAAACATTGTTTATTTATGAGTATTTCAACCACAACTATGGTCAGACATCTTCCTTAATAAAGGAAGACTTTCTGCAAAACCACTTTCTACTTGTTATTTCTGTCTCCCATTCATTCCAGGGCATTTCTTTAGGCTGTCCAGTTATGGGATTAACTTTTTTCTCTGGTAGTTCCAGCTCTATTAATATTTTAAATAGTAATGTATTTTCTTCTTAAATATGCCTTGCTTTTGATGAAACAGTTTTTATTTCTGGGTTTATGGTATTGCTATGGTTTGGATGTGGTTTGTTCCCACCAAATCTCACAATTTGATTACCAGCATGGTGGTGTTGGAAGATGTTTGGGTCATGGGGGTGGATCCCTCATGAATGGCTTGGTGTCATTCCCATAGTAGTGAGAGTTATTGCTGTCATGAGACTGGATTAGTTCTCATGGAAATGGATTAGTTCTCGTGAGAGTGGGTTGTTATAAGGCAAGTTGCCCTTGGGTTTTGCCCCTTTGCACATGTCCACTTCCTCTTCGACCTTCTGCCATGTTATGATGCAGCACAAACAAGCCCACTAGAAGCTGAGCAACTGCTGGCACCATGCTTCTTGTACTTCCCAACCTGCAGAACAATCAACTAAATAAACCTCTTTTTTATGTAAATTACCCAGCCTTGGGTATTTATTCAATTACAGTAACACAAAATGGACCAACACAGAAAATTGGTACCGAGGAGTGGGATTTGCTCTGTGAATACCTGAAAATGTGAAATCTGCTTTGGAATTATGTAGTGGGCAATGGTTGAAAGAATTTGGAGGAGGAGCAGGCTAGAAAGAGACTGTATTGCAGTGAACAGAGCATTAAGGGCAGTTCTGGTGAGGGCTTAGAAAAAGACAAAAAGATGAGGGAAAGTTTGGAACTTTTTTGAGATTGTTTAAGTAATTGTGACCAAAATGCTGATAGAAATATGGGCAGTAAAAGCCATGCTGATGAGGTCTCCGATGGAAATGAAGAATATCTTCTTGAAAATTGAGGTAAGGCCCATCCTTGTTACACAGTTGCAAAGAAATTGGCTGTAGTATGTCTATTCCCTAGGGATTTATGGAAGGTAGCACTTAAGAGTGATGAACTTGTATATCTGGTGGAAGAACTTTCTAAGCAGCAAAACACTCAAGAAGTGATGTGGTTACTTTTAATAGCTCATGCTTAGTTATGGCACAGCAAAGTAATAATCTAAAGGCGAATTTATAATTAAAAGGGAAGCAGAATGTAAACATTTGAAAAATGTGCAGCCCAACCATGTGAAATGAAAGAGTGTTTTCAGGAGAACAATTCAAGGGTACTGTCAAGAGACTACTTGCTAAAAAGATTAGTATGCATATAAGGGAGTCAAGTGCTGTGCATCAGGACATTGGGGAAAAGGCCCAGAGGCCTAAGAGGGCAGTTTTGAGGGACAAACCTGGGTGTTTTCTGTGAAATTGCTGCCCAGGGCCACTTCAGGCTGCTGCTCTTGCATCCTGGTGACTTAAGCAGTTCCAGGTGTTCCTTGTGCTGCCACTCCAGAGATCCCAAACTGTAAGCTTTGGCATCATCTACATCCAAATGGTGCTAATTTTGTAGACATGCAGAATACAAGAGTGGTGGAGGTATATAGGAGCTCCCACCTAGATTTCAGAAGATGTATCAGAAAGCCTGGAAGCCCAGGCAGACTTGTCAAAGGGGCAGAGCCACTGCAGAGAGCCTCTACTAAAGCAATGCTGAGCAGAAATGTATAATCAAAGCAGCTATAGAGAGTCACTACCCGGGAAGTAGGAGTTGAGGGAGTGGGGCTACCTTTGGGACCCTGAGACTGTAGAGCCATTGACAATGTGCAATGCCTGCCTGGAAAAGTTACGGGCATTTGACTCCAACTGTGAGAACAGCCACGTGTGCTACACCCAGTGAAGCAAGTGGGGCAGGGCTGCCTAAGGCTTTGGGAGCCCACCCCTCACATCCGTGTGCCCAGGAGATGACACATGGTGTGAAAGATTATGCAAGAGCCTTAAGATTTAATGTCTGCCCTGCTGAGTTTCAGATTCGTATGGGGTCTGTCATTTCTTTCTTTTGGCCTATATCTCCCTTTTCAAGTGGGGATGTTTACCAAATGTCTGTCCCATCTTGAAAATAAATAACTTATTTTTGATTTTACAGGCTTACAGCTGGAAGCAACTTGCTATGAGTCTTAGATGAGACTTTGGACTTTTAAGTTGTTGCTGGAACAAGTTAAGACTTTTGAGACTATTGGAATGGAATGATTGTATTTTGTATATGAGAAGCACAGGATTTTTTTGAGGCTAGAGGCAGAATGCTATGTTTGCATATGGTTCATCCCCATCAAAACTCATGTTGAAATGTTATTGTCAGTGCCGCAGTATAGGGAGATGGAGCCTAGGGGAGCTGTTTGGGTCATGGGAGTGGATCCGTTATGAATGACTTGGTGCTGTTCTCGCAGTAGTGAGCTCTTGTGCTCATGAGACTGGATTAGTTCTCGTGGAAATGGATTAGTTCCCATGAGAGTGGGTTGTTATAAATCAGGATACCCTTGGGTTTTGCCCCTTTGCACATGTCTGCTTCCCCTTTGACCTTCTGCCATGTTATGATGTAACACAAAAGCCCTCACCAGAAGCCAAACTGATGCTGGTGCCATGCTTCTTGTACTTCCCATCCTGCAGAACCATGAGCTAAATAAATCTTTTTTTTACAAATTATCCAGTCTGATGTATTCTGCTATAGCAACACAAAATGGACGAAGACAGGTGTTATTATCCCAATTAATTTATTAGGCAGAACACAATCACATGATTTACACAAAGGAATTAGCAGAGAAGACACAGCTTTGGGTACTACCACTGAAAAATGTATTCCTCAGAGTTGGAGTGTGCTGTGGGATACACTAATGGGGATGTTACCCAAATTATTTTAGCATGTTTCACTGTTTTCACTTCCAAGAAGTAAGCAACATTGAAGTATCATGTCTTTCCTCCAGACTGGGACCTTTCATGGTCAGAGATATCCTGTTAATGCCTGTTTTTATTCCTGCAATAAAGTCATGAAAATAATAAATTGGATAGGAAGAGTCTTTGAGGCCAGTGGTCAAAAGATAAGATTTCCAAAAGAAAAATGTCATCAGCCTGTAGGAACACATGTTCTGGCTTGCAAAGCCTTCAAACTATTTTTTCCATGGCATCAGACAACCTCTGATGGCCAGCCATCCAGTTGTCTGAAATGACACAAATTTTCATTTGACTGTTGCCTAATATTTTATAGGCCTGGTCAGATTTATCTTTAAGTCCTGAGCACTGACAATGTGCAAAATTGTCCTATTGGATTATGCTTTAAATTTTCTTGCTAAGATTAATGCAGTATATACAATTAACTTTCCTTAGACCACACCAGCCTTATGAATAATTAAGAACTGGATGACAATTGCCATGGTATTTGAGCAGCAACCTAACTACCGCACTTGTTTTTTGAGGCTTTTCCTGTGGAGAGTTATGGAACACATTTCCTGGGTTGTGTTAGTCCATTCTTGCTCTCATGGCTAGAGTGGGAACAAGAGAGAGAGGCAAAAAATGCCACATACTTTTAAACAACCAGATCTTGCAGGAACTCGGAGACCAACCTAGAAAACAAGCCTGGCCTTTAAGCCTACTACCATCTTACTCCCTATATTCAATGACTCAAGTCCTAACAATTCTGCCTGTGAACTAACTCAACTCTGTATACTTCTCTCCAGTCTCTACCACCACTGCTCTGGTTTCTGCCACCACCATCTCTCTCTTGGATATGGCAGTAAGCTTTCTTGCAGAATAAATGGTTTCCCCTCATCTCTTCCTGGAATGCTTCCAAAGATTATGAGGTACTTTATCTTCTTCTTTGTTCAGGATTTTACTTTGGGGACCTCATTAAGCCTTTAAATGCACTTTACCATTTCTCCCAGGAAATCATGGGATCCTTGTACAAAATAGACCTCCCAGTGGTTTGTCTTTCTATGCTAGTGTTTCTGTCTCAGGTGTGGAGTGCTGTTGCTCTCACCCCAATGACTCTTGCAGCCTGAGTATATAGGAATGTTTTAGGACTGAGACTTCAAATGGTTTTGGAAGAAATGGTTTCTATAAGTGGTATTAGAAGTTGAGGGTGATATAGAGAACTTAAATTGATTTAGTCACGTTTTTCTTTTCTTTTCTTTTTTTTTTTTTTTTTAAGATGGAGTCTCACTGTGTCACCCAGACTGGAGTATAGTGGTGCAATCTCAACTCACTGCAACCTCCACCTCCTGGGTTTGAGCAATTCTTGTGCCTCAGCCTCCCTAGTAACTGGGATTACAGGCATGCGCCACCACGCCCGACTAATTTTTGTCTGTTTAATAGAGATGCGGTTTCACCATATTGGCTAGGCTGGTCTCAAACTCCTGACCTCAAGTGATCTGCCCGCCTTGGCCTCCCAGAGTGCTGGGATTACAGATGTGAGCCACCACACCTGGCTGTGACTTTCTTCTAGTGAAGAATTTAATAACATTATTTTGCTTTATAAGCACATCAAGTACTTTTCTTACCTCTGGATCTCTATGCCATTAGAGGACTTTTTAGAGATGGTGATATGGTTTGGCTGTGTCCCCACCCAAATCTCATCTTGAATTCTAACCCTGATAATCCCCACGTGTCATGGGAGGGGCCTGATGGGAGGTAATTGAATCATGAGGGCAATTTCCCCCATGCTGTTCTCATAATAGTGAGTTCTCACTAGCTCTGATGGTTTTGTAAGTGTCCACATTTCCCCTGCTGCACTCATTCTCCCTCCTCTGCCCTATGGAGAGGTGCCTTCCACCATGCTTATAAGAATCCTGAGGCCTCCCTAGCCATGCAGTGCTTTGAGTCAATTAAACCTCTTTCCTTTATAAATTACCCAGTCTCAGGTATTTCTTCATAGTAACATGGGAACTAACTAATACAGTTTTGTCTTTCTCTGGCCTCAGCAAATGAAACCATGAAGACCTTTCCTTCCGTTTGTAAAGAACCTATATAAACAAACAAACAAACAAAGATAAACAAAAAATTTATCAAGACATGAAAATGTACTCAGGTAGCATAATGTGTTTGAAAGATGCCAATTCAATATAAAATCATCGAAGTGAGATCCCTGTTCTGCTATCAACAACAGTGCAGCCCTGAAAATTTCTTAACCTCACTGAAACACAGTTTTCTTATTGGTAAAACAGAAACAAAAAATGTCTATGTAAATTTATTACAAGAGTTCAAGATAATACAAAGCATCTGGCCTAGAGCAGATATGGAATACATTTTAACTATTAGTGTTACATAAATGGAGCTATTGTGGTTCCTTGGGATTCTTATTAGACTATTTTAGGCTTAAACGACTATGGGCCAAAATTATTAAGTTAAACCTCTGCCATCCAGGAGTAGATGTTCTCCTTCCACTTGATGTTATATTCCTAAGAATGTCTGATAAGGCCAGGCACAGTGGCTCATGCCTATAATCCGAGCACTTTGGGAGTCCGAGGTGGGCAGATCACGAGGTTAAGAGATCGAGACCATCTTGGCCAACCAACACAGTGAAACCCCGTCTCTATTAAAAATATAAAAATTAGCTGGGTGTAGTGGCACACGCCTGTAGTCCCAGCTACTCGGGAGGCTGTGGCAGGAGAATTGCTTGAACCCAGGAGGTGGAGGTTGCAGTGAGCCGAGATCGCGCCACTGCACTCCAGCCAGGGTGACAGAACTAGACTCCATCTCAAAAAAAAAAGGTCTGATAAACTCTAGAATGTGGAAGGGCAAATGTCTGGCAGAAAGTAGTGTGTTTATTAAATCTGCTTCTCTCTAAGAAATGAAAGTTTCAAGTTAAATAGTTTATTTTGTTAATTAAACAAATTAGTAAGTGATTACTCCACTCAAGGCATTGTAAAGGATCCAGAACTTTCAAGAAATTTACAGCCCAGAGGAGTTACTACAGGTACATTAAAAAAAAATTGCAATTGAGGCAATGTGGACAGTGCCTTAAACATTGTCACATACAACATGACACAGAGGTTCAGAGTTATAGAAAAAAAAACAACCCTGATTTGGCTAGAGCAGCAGTTTGCGACCATATCAGATACCTTGCCCCTTCTTTTAAAACAAATATTTTATAAGGCCCTCTTTACTATTTTGAAATGAAATTCATATGTAAGATATAATATCCTACACATATAATTTCTTTTTCTTCTTTTTCTTTTTTAAATCTCCAGTGCATAAACTGATTAATCATAATCTTTAGTCATTGACACACTTTCATTAGTGGTCCATGCATAGCTCTCTCCTAGTCTTCTCTTTGTTTAGTTTTAATAATGTAATAATCAGCAGTGAAGCCATCACCCAGCATAAAAGGCAAGATCTTTACTATGACCTACATTTGACTCTGGAGATACCTCCCAAACCATCCTCCATCTCTCTTATCCTAGGTAACCATCACCCTAAATCTGTTGTTTTCATTGTCTTGCTTCCCTTTTTATATCATTTCATTGTATCTATATGAATTTCTTGGACATATTTTTATTTTAGTTGTTTTAGCTTTATGAAAAGGGTTCACATGGCATATACCCTTTTAATGTTATTCATCCATATTATTGCATATGTCATTCTGGAGATTCACTGGTTTCTACAACCATATTATATACCATTGTGTGAATTTGGCATGGTTTACTTGCCCACTCTCCTGTTGATGGGCATTTTGATTGTTTCTGAGTTTTTGCTGTTTTGAAAAGTGCAGCTATGGGCATTTTTATATATGCCTCTTCGTGTACACATCCAAGAGTTTTTCTTGTATATATACCCAGAAGTGGAATTGTGTCAGTAGAGTATTTAAATGTTTAATGTTATCACATAAAGCCAAACTGTTTTCTATAATTGTTGCCCTAATTTACCTTCCCACTCACAGTGCATAAAATATTCTGTAAATATACATCCTCTTTAACACCTGCTATTGTCAGAATTTATGTTTATTGGCCATATAGACTTTCTCTTTTGTAAAGATCTTGTTCTTGTATTTTGCTCACTTTTCTGTTGGATTGTTAGTGCTTTTCTTATTGATTTGTAAGCGTTCTTTATATAATCATTGTACTAGTTCTGTATCAGCTATGTGAATTGCAAACATCTGGTTTGTAACCTTTCACTTATATTTAGGGTACTTAATTTTATTAGTCTTTTATAGTAAATAATTTTTATGTATTGTTTTAAAAACCTTTACTTTATGTCTAAATTATATTCTTTTTTTACAGTTTTGTTTCTGCCTTTAAATTTTTAACACATCTGTACTTGAGTTTTCTATATGATGTGAAGTTGAGATTCATTTTAATTTTTTTTCCAAATAACCTTTTTTTCTTGGATCCATTTATTGAACAGTCTCTTAGTCTACCTCAATTTAACATACCACCTCTGTCAAATACGAAGTTCCCTATAAGCATAGGTCTGTTTCTAGGCTGACTCTTCTATTCCACTGATAAATTTTATCAAGTTCTGAAACAATGCCACATTGTCTTAATCTCCATAGGCCCATCATAAATCCTTATATCTGGTGGGGTGGATACCATCTCTGTACTTTCCTTTTTCAGAGGTAAATTTTTGTGGCTATTCTTGGTTCTTACTTTCCTTACATGGCTAATTTTAAAAAACAACATAATGCCCCTACTATAATATGATTAATAAATAAAAGTAAAATGATTTATAGTAAAATAGTATGTAGTTTAATGTTGATAATGCTAGGTCATGACAGCAGCAGAAAAACATCTCCACAAATATTCAGAATGCCCCCTAAGAGTATTGCAGCTCCCATTGAGAACTGTCAGCATAGAGAACCGAGGGACACTGTAGAGACACTGTATCACTTGAGCCTTAAAGGGTGGGTGGAATTTGTAGGAAGTTCATCCTGATGAAGTTGTAAAATTTTTTTTTTTTTTTTTTTTGTAGATGGGGTTTCACTCTTGTCACCTAGGCTGGAGTGCAGTGGCGTGATCTCAGCTCACTGCAACCTCCACCTCCTGG